AAACTACTTCAAGCATATCTATCAATGCTGTGTGCAAAACATCTGTTTACTTTCAGGTCATTTCGTGAGATGAGCCTTCATGGAGATGAAAATTGTTGATTTTCGACCAACGATGGTATATATTTTTCAAATATTTAATGGACATCTGTATGTTTTCAGTTGAATTAGCTCCTCAAATCTTTGACTTTTTATATATTTCTGCAATAGTCACATTCCTGTTTATTGATGACTGTATATGTACCTTATTAACTTTTGTATGTCTTATATTGCAAGTAGTTGTGTTTCCTTATAGTAATGTAATTCTTCCGTTTATTCAATAAGTAAATCTTGAATGGCTCTATCAGCTGTTTTAGAGCTAGAGTTCTGGGAAGAGAAAAGCCAAGTTCAAACACTGCTTTCATCACTAATAGCTGGGTGAGTTTCATTTTTAACTTTGTAAATTTTGAGTTTCATCTTTGATTAAATGTAGAAAACAGTTTTTATACTTTATAGTATCAGATTAAGATTAAATGAGGTAATGAATAAAACACAATCATGACAATAGTCAGCAAAATCTTCTTCCATATATACCAGTGTCAATGTAATGATAGGCATTGGAAATATGAAGACCTAACTGACTTTTGCTAGTTGCAAAGGTATTTTTCCAAATGCCTAAATAGAACTCCCAACTGGATAGCCCTACTAGGAGATCTCATTTCTTTATTCAGCATGTCCAAACGTAGACATTTTGTACTTCTTCACCCACCCAAACCGTCCTACAAAATTTCTTATCTCAGTGAATAACACATCAAGTCATTGAAATCAGTACAAGAGAATCAATTAATTGATAGATTTAGAATTTATTAAATGTCAAATATATACCAAAAAATACATGAAAAACTAAATAGTAAATAAAATGAATTAAGTAAAGAGAAAAACTCTGATATCTAGTCCAGGTAATGAGGAAAAAGATAAAGTCAATGTAATGTAGTTTAAAAATTGTGTGGATGATCATAGAACACCAAAAATAACTCTGTTCAAGAAAAATTTCTAATTAAGGCATATTGGAGGAGATATCAAGAACAGACTGAGTTGAGTCTTAAAGAAAGATGATAATATCACCAGGTAACAGGGCAAGGGTTTCCAAGAAGAAGTAACATCACAATGGAATTGAATAGACATAGTAAGAAAAGTGAAAATATATCCAGAAGAGAGTGATGTCATAAAAACAAAAGGATAATAAAGCTTCAAGGAAAAACATAATTAGGAAAGCAGCAGGGACATCCAATAAGGAGAGATCTGGCTTGTGGCACTATGAAGGTCATTGGTCACCTTAGGAAATAAAGGACAGTGCAATGGGAAGGATGGAAGGACAATACTATCTTGCATACAATGAATGACCTTGGCTCTAGGTGATAAATCTAATCCAAAGCCTGAACTTGTTTAATTAAATGGTCACACTTATTTTGCACTTATGGAGCCTAATGCTACTTTTGATCAACCACGCAGAATGCCAATCTGTCAGGTCCATGGGACAACCTATAGCACACCGGCTAAATCCAGCTTGCTGTCTCTTTCTGTAAATAAAAGTTTATTGGGGCACCACCATGTCCGTTAATTTATGTATTATCTATGGAAGCTTTTGCCCTGTGGTGTCAAAGTTAAATAATTAGGACAAATATCAAATGATCAAGAAAGCTTAAAACATTTACTGTCTGTCTCTTTACATAAAATGTTGCCTGATTTATAATTTAGAGCAACAATTCATTATATTATAATGATTTAGTCATTATATTCTTATACGATTGTCTTTATAGAACTGCCTTTAAGTTGTAACTTCTATCAAAATTTTCTATAAGAACCATGTGATAAAAGCCACAAAAATATTCACAGCTAAATTCTTGATAAGATATAGGTCTACTTTATCATTCGGTGTTTTCTATATATACACATTCATGTGTGAAATTTATTTTATAGTTTAGTTCCAAGAACACAGAAAAAATTCAGTGACCAAAACAGGCACATATAATACAGAAACAAAGTATTTCCTTTGAGGAGTTAATAGTTCTTCCCTTTAACTGATAGTTATGACATGTACTTTAAAATTCATTGTATTTGGATAGCAGATCTTAGCTCAAACAAAGTAAATATGTAAATCACTAATGAAAATATATTTATTTCATTCATTGTCCATAGAAATATTATAATTATGGTTCAAATGTATATCTATTTATCTAAATCCATCTGTCAACCTATCTTATATCTATATTGAGACATATGAATATATGTAGTAATCTGTCGAGGCGTTTAGCAGAAAAAATTGGGATTACAACACATGCAATAATTTTGGTTTCAGTTCTATCGCATAAAAACTTGGAAGTCATGACTCCCATCCTTAATAGCAAGGAAAACTGAAGAAATTAAAAAATCAATGACTTTTCTTCTATTCCTCAGAGAAATGAGTTTTCAGGACTAACTACTACCCCCAAATTTTGAGAGTCAGGCAAACACAGAGAATCATAGACAGCATCAGCCTTCTTGGAACAGACACCACTGGAAACTTTAACGGTCTTGCCCTACAAGAATGTTAAAAGAAATTCTTCACATACATTCAAAAATATATAGCTCAGAGACTCAAATCTACATAGAGAAAGATTATCTGAAAAGAATAAATGAGGATAAAATAAAATATTTGATTTTCTTATTCTTAATTAATGTGATAGATAACACATTACTCAATATAATATTAGTAACTGAATGTTAATTGATTATGGGATGTGGATAAATGAAACGGATGGCAGGAATGTTTAAGGGCTGGGAGGGAGTAATTGGAAAATCTCCATCATAAGCTACCGGAACTGCCTGTGAAGCAGTACAGCGTTATTTTTTAATTTGGCTTATATTAGCTGTAAATGTATATTTAAAACTCTAGAGCAAATATTAAGAATTTTTAAAGGTGTACAATTGACACTCTAAGACTGGAGAGAAAATTGAATCATAAAAATATTCAATTACATTCATGGAACATAAACAATAGGGAAGGAAAAATAAAAAAAGAAGGAACAAATGCAATGAATAGAAGACAGTTACAAACATGGTAGATAGTAATCCAACTACATTAATATTCACTTTAAATGTGAAGTGCCAAAATATACCAAATAAAAGACAGATTTTCAAAGTAGATAAAAAACCAGGACCCAGCTATGTATTGTACAGAAGAAACCCACTGAAATATATAGAAACCTATAGGTTAAAAGTAAAGGTAAGGAAAAAAAATCTCTTGCTCTTTCTGTTGCAAGAACTTAAAAGAAAGACAGCCAAGTAGCAAGGAGCATACCCAGGGCCCAGTTCTTCGTTTCTAAAACTATTTGCCAATAAAAAGAACAAAACTTCTTAGAGAAATGTCTAATTCTAGAACTGGTACAGAAAATATCCAAGATGAGCCTGGAGCATCTTCTAATGCCATGAAATAGGAAGTGGTACAAACATACCACACCACACAGACACACACACACACACACACACACACACACACACACACACAGAATGAGTGTTAAGGCAAAGAGGAATGAAAGCCAAATGAAAGAGCTCCTAATGGTCAAACTGGAACAACTTAAGCAATAAAATAAAGTAACATTGAATCATAACCCAAATGATAATAAAAATACCCTTAAGTCCATACTGATATAAATCATTGAATAAATTAATAGGTGGGGGAGAATAAATCCATCTGCCATGTAGAAGAATTCCAAATAACTTACTAAATTATGTAGCTACTCCACCCTCAAGGAGGAGGGACAAAATCCCTACTCCTTAATTGTGGGTTGCTTCTGGTGACTTCCTTCCCAAAAGTACAGTATGGAAATGGGAAGTTTTAAAAAATAATTCCACAGCTTAGAAATCTGACAATTACTACTTCAGACAAGTGATCAAGGTCAGCATACACAGGGGATAAATCATGTTGATAGTATGTTCCCCTGATATGATGTGATTGAAATGGCACTTTAACATCTATAATCTTCCTCCCCAAGCAAATAATCGCAGTTTAATCATGAGAATAGCAACAGATAAATTGTAATAGATAGGCTTCCTAAAAAATACTTGAATAGTACTCTTTGATACTGTAAAGGTCATTAGAAATAAGGAAAGTCTCTGAAATTGACAGCCAAGAAGAGCTTAAGGAGACATGACAATTAATGCAGTGTGGCATCCTGGGTGAGATCTTGGGAGAAAAATAGCAAACTAGGTAAAATTAAGAACTTTGAATGAAATCTGGATTTTAGTTAATTATAATGTATCAATATCTGTTCACTAATAGTAACAAATATATCATAATAATGCAAGATGATAATAAGAAGGAAAACTGGGTGTGGGGGTCTATAGGAACTCAGTACCATATATTCAAATTTCTGGAAAACCAAATCTATTTTAAAAAATAAAACATATAAAAGTACTTTCCAATACAAGATTAAAAATCTAAACCTTCTTAGTACTTAGATCATCATAAAACAGAAAATAACTTGATTTGAACCATGATGATAATTAGAATGATGATGATGATTATGATGAGAAGGGAGTGGTTGAGGAAGATCGCTGCAATCAAAATTAGAAGACAAAAAATTAGTTAGGTCATTATCATTGAAATTATCTACTTCAGATTGAATTTATTCTGTTGTTAAAGAACTCCATGCACTTCATATTTTTAATCAGAGGCTAACCATTTACATTTAGGTGTGTTGGACATTTTCCCCACTGAAGAATGGGGAAAGAGCTTCACTGACTGAATTACAAGCCAGACTTCATGATTTCTGTGTTTTATGTCATCTTTTGAGAAAGTTATTCTGAATCCATAAAAATTGAAATTGTTTAAATAGGAATTAGAGCTTAACAGTCTTGAATGGAAACTTACAACTCTATACTTCACTACAAAATGAACTTGAGGGAAGCACACACTCTCACCAAGGACAAATGTTTCACAGAGTGAAATTTTGTTATTTGATATGAAAAGCCATAATGAAAAATCAAGAAGGATTCTTAGCATAAAAAATCTTGGATACTCTATCCCGAATCTGTTTTGTCTTCACACCATAAACAATAGGATTGAGCAGAGGTGGGACAAGTAGGTAAAGGTTGGACAGAAGAATATGAATGCAGGGTGGAATATGGAACCCAAACCTGTGTGTAAAGAAGGAGAAGAAACCTAGGAGGTAAAACTCAAGGAAGACACAAATGTGGGCAATGCAGGTGTTAAAGGCTTTGAGCCTAGCTTCTTTCAGAGGCAGATTGAAGACGGTAATAAATATTTGGAAGTAGGAGAGGATGATAAAGACTATGTCCAATCCAAGTATACTGAAAGCCACAAACAGACCATAAATCTTGTTGATTCGAACATCTTCTGCTGCCAACTTCACAATGGCCGTGTGCTCACAGTATGAATGCGATACGACGGTGGTTCGATAGTATTTCAGGCGGCACTTGATGAGGATGAGACATGGAGCTGAAAGGAGGGCTGCTCTGAGTGTCACTCCAACCCCAATCTGAGTGAGAAGTTGGTGGGTAAAAATAGTTGCATGTCTCAGAGGATCACAGATTGCCACACAGCGGTCCAGGGCCATGGCCAGCAGAATACCTGACTCAATACACTGGAAGGTGTGGACGAGCCACATCTGCAAGAGACAGACGTCAAAGTATATGTCTGGCGCATGAAACCAGAATATCCCTAGCATTTTTGGTAAAATACAAGTACTGAGAGCAATGTCTATTGTTCTAAGCATTGCCAGGAAGAGATACATGGGCTCATGGAGTCTCTGCTCAGATTTGATGATGACCAGGAGAAGAAAATTCCCAAGCAGAGCAATGATGTACATGGCACAGAAAGGAATCCCAATCCAGCACTGCACAGACTCCAAGCCAGGGATCCCAATTAGTGTCAGCACTGAGGGCATGAAGACTGTGCTGTTGAACTTGAACATGTTGGCTTAGAGCTGCCTGATTAATGATTCGAGTTTTGCGTTGGGTTTCTCTTTTCTGTTAGTATTTGTTCTCACCTAGATTTATAGAAATTTTGAGAATTAGAAGTTGAATGTGGCTTTAAAGGGCATTTTTCAAGCCTACATATTTCTGATGATGTAAGTCCAGGAATGCATATACAGATTCCCAAAATTCTCTCTCTCTCTCTCTCTTTTAACACAAAGGCAAACAAATACACATACAATTCAATATTCAAAGGAGATCCACACACAACTAGTGTTTCACACCTGTCAGGCTATAATCAACAAGAGAAGAGATAACAAGTGTTGGAGAGGATGTAGAAGAAAGGGAACCCTCATACACTGCTGGAGGAATGTAAACTGGTGCAGCCACTATAGAAAACAGCATGGAGATTTCTCAAAAAATTAAAAATAAAAATATCTCTGATCCAGCCATCTCTTTACTGGGTATGTGTCCAAAGAACGTGAAGTCAATAATTTAAAGAGATTTATGCACCTCTATGTTCATTGCAGCATTATTCACAATAACCAAGATGTGGAAGCAACCCAAGTGCTCATTTATGAATGAATGCATAAAGAGGATGTAGTGGGTGTATGTATATATATATATATATATATATACACACACACATACACAATGGAATAATAGTCATAAAAAAGACAAAATTGTGCTGTTTGTGACAACACTGATTGAGGCCATTATGCTAAGCGAAATAAGATAGAGAGAGAAAGACAAACACCGTATGACTTCACTCATATGTGGAATATAAACACATGGGTAAGGAGAACAGATTAGTGGTTACCAGAAAGCAAGGGCATGGCAGAGAAGGTGAAAGCGGTAAAGGGACACGTGTATGGTGATGGATAAAAACTAGATGATTGGTGGAGAATATGGTGCTGTGTATACAGAAACTGATATATATTAATGTACACCTGAAATTTATGCAATGTTATGTCAATATAACCTCGATGTAATATTAAAAAAAAAAAAAAAAGACTTACTATAAAGCTACAGTGGCCAAGACAGTGTGGTAGTGCAGAAGAATAGGCAAATTAATCAGTGGAACAGAACTGAGAGCCCGCAAACAGACACATACACACATATAATCAATGGATCTTTGACAAAGGAGGAAAAGCAATTTAATGGAGAAAGAGTAGTGTTTCAACAAATGGTGCTGGAACAAGCGCACATCCACATACAAAAATAAATGAATCTAGACACCGATCTTACACCTTTCATGAAAATTAACTCAGAAAAGATCATAAACCTCCTTGATTTAAAATGGAAAACTATGCAAGCTCTCAAAGATAGCATAGGACAAACTTTAGGAGACCTTGAGTTTAGCAATGACCTTATAGTTAACACCAGGCATATGATCCCTGAAAAAAGAAATCGAGAAGCTTAACTTCATTAAAATTGAAAAAGTTTGTTCTGTGAAAGACACACTTAAGAGAATGCAAACATACACCAAGAACTCTTGAAACTCAGCAATAAGAAAACAAACAACTCAATTAAAAATCTGCAAAAGATCTAAACAGACACCTCACCAAAGAAGATGTTACAGGTGACGAATAAGCACATAAAAAATGTTCAACATCATATGTCTTTAGGGAATTGCAAATTAAATCAACAATGCAATACTGCTGTACACCTATTAGAATAGCTAAAGTTAAAAACTCTGATATAACAAATGCTGGTGAGGAAGTGCAGCAATAACAATTCTCATTCATTAATGGTGAGGATGCAAAATAGTACAGCTACTTGGGTCGATAATCTGGCAGTTTCTTACAAAGCTAAACATACGCTTATCACGCAGTCCCTCAATTGTGCTCTCAGATATTAACCCAAATGAGTTCAAAATTTATGTCTACACAAAAACCTGCACATGAATATTGATAGCATCTTTATTCATGATTGCTAATCCTTGGAAGCCATCAAGATATCTTTCAACAGGCAAATGTATAAAGAAGTTTTGGTACATCCATAGAATGAAGGATTATTCAGTGATAAAAATAAATGAACTATCAAGTTACAAAACCTTAAATGCATATTGCTAAGTGAATGAAGCTGTCCTGAAAAAGCTACATACCATGTGATTCCTACTATACGATATTCTGGAAAGGTAAAACTATAGAAACAATAAAAAGATTAGTGTTTGCCAGGGTTTCAGGGAGAAGGGACAGGGACGAATAGGTGAAGCACGAGACATGTAAGTCAGAGGAACTATTCTGTATGAAACTCGAATGATGGAAATATGACATTATGCATTTGCCCAAACCCATTGAAATGTACAACACAAAGAAAGCGCTCTAATGTAAACTATGCACTTTAATTAATAATAAAGTATCAACTTGCTCATCTATTGTAGCAAATGTACCACACTAATGCAAGATGTTAATTGTCAGAGAAACTGCAGGATAGGAGAGAAAGAGAGTGTATATGGAAACTCTGTGCTTCCTGTAAAACTTTTTTGCAAACTTAAAACTAATCTAAAAATAAAATCTACTAACAAAAAAGTTAAATATATGTATGGGGGTGTATAGTAGAGTTTCTACTATGGTATTTTAAACAAATCCCAGAGGTCGATCCTAGTGAACATTTCCTCAGTGGCCCAGATAAAATTAGATATGTTAGAGATAAACAGTACAAAATAAAATTGATGATGTCAGGTCGTAAATAAGGCAGATTTTAAAAAGAAAAACATTTGATGCAGGGATAAAATCTTAGTATTAAAGTTCAGATCTACAAATTCTGTACTGAAAATTGTACTTGATAGAACAATGACCTATGATGAAAAGCCATAATGTTTTGTATTTCTCCTGGAAAACTTTCTCTTATCAATATCTGATCAATACATAATATCTTTTTAGAGAATATATGGTAATTATTAACCCAAAACAAAGTAATTTTAGTAAAATAAATCTGAAAATATCATGCAGTCGTATGTCAAATGTAATAGAAGATATTGCAAATGTATTTGTTTAATATAATTCAATTCATGACACAATTTATGGATGAAAAAACACTTTTATGTATTCCTTACTAAAGTGCTTATTTTTCTTATATAAAATCTAATTGTACTTTGGTTTGATAGCTGGGATAAAAAGTCTTGAACATACAACTGGCATCTATCCCTGCCAGTGGAGAATTTAAACTGTCTTGAACCATGAAATGCTCAATGAGAAAATTCAGATTTTCTGGAGCTATCCTCTTCAATCAAAGAGTGATATTTCCCCACTCCATTAACTTTTCCCTTTCCCATTTTCTTTCTCTTTCAAATACCTACTCCTATAAAATCCACCCTTGGATATTAATACACAGTTCAGCTTCCTCTTTAGTGTTATTCTTTCTGCTATGACAGTGCAGTATTTATTCCAATTTGACTATTTGCTTGTGTGCCAATTCCATCAAGAGGTAAACATCTGTGGAGTCAGTTTCTATTTTTACAAAAGAATTTAGAGAGATGGATCCATAAAATGACTTCTTTTCAAATGGACTGTAGAACTCTAATACTGCCCAGTAAGTAATATTACTTTGTACCTGTGTTGGGTAACAATAGATTTTCTTCTGTCAATAGGTTGTGCAAAATTCTTCTCAGAGGCATCATGAAGTGCCAACTGTAAATGAGCCAAAAATGCAGTCTACTAACTCCTGTTGTCCTTTAAGGGCTTTTAAGAGCTGTAAATTCAAAGGTTTTGTTTTGCTTTTCAATTCACCACTCATCCTTGCTGACAACAAAACATGTCAATCTCCCTGTCTATATATCTGTCATTAATTCTCGTTATCATTCTCCACGCCCTCACAAAGTTCCTTAGTGTGAGGCCAGTGTGCTTAGTTTACCATCATTACCTCTTTAATCATGCAAAATCTCCTTTGTAAAATAAAATACCATCCAGGTAAGTGACCTTCTACCCATCAATGACCCATCAATGCTTAAAACTCATCTGTCCTGTATTTCTCCTAGGAGAAATTCGTTGATCAATATAGTCCCTAAATCATTGTCTCCCTACCCACCTCAGTTCCTGTAATGTTTTTGTTCCCTTTGGGTCTGTGTTGGCATATCATCCAACCAATTCTTTCAGAATTTTTCTCTCTTGGCAGTATAGAGCATTTAATTTGTTGAATGGGGTTATTAGCTTTAAAATTACATTCCTCTAAGTGTTCATAATTAAAAAGTTTAATGAACAAAAATGTGCATTTTATAATTAAAGTAAAGAAATAATAAATTAAATGAGACAAATATTCCTGTATCTGGACTTAATTTTTCTGTCCTGGCAGAAACACTAGTATACTTATTAAGTTTTAATAATCAGGATGTGGAAAATAGGTGTTTTGTTTTGTTATCATGTTTGTTCAAATCTCTGTGTATAAAAGCTTTCACTCATGTTTCCCGTTGGATATCTCTTCACAGAACTACAATCTAAACTTAGACCTAACGTTGAAAATGTGTACACTAGACACTACTCATACACAAGTTACTTGTCATAACCTTGTATCCTGACAAGCATCTCATCTTTATTTCCAGTACATTGTGGTCACATGTTATTATGTTTTTCTCTTATTCAGGGCCATTATCCTCTCGTTTTACTTCATATTCCTCTCTCACTTTTTATTCATGGTATAATATATTAGCTACTCCTTTGTCACATGACACAATATCTTTGCTCCTTTAATTACCTACCAGTCTGTGCCTCATAATCTCAAGTTTTGGTCAGTATGTTCAGTTTTTCCAACACAGAAGTTCAAAAGTACAGGAGAAAATCTCAAGTCTTCAAGATTTGCCACTAAAATTTATACAGCTCTGAATTCCCTGGCTGATTTCTAGACATTTCTTTTCTTAAATTTTGCCTATCTCTTCATGCTTTCTATAATAACCGTAATATAATCTCTTGGCCATAAAACGTAGTTACAATACAGCATATATGTACAAACTCTCACCTCCTCCTGCCCCCCGTGCCTATCTCAGCAGGAGAGCATCTTC